GTGATCCACCCGCCTCGGCCTCCCAAAGTGCTGGGATTACAGGCGTGAGCCACCGTGCCCGGCCCAAATTTTTATTTTTATGTGCTTAGAAGTGTTTATAGTTTAGTTTCTTAATTTTGCTTTTAACTTAAAAGGCGTTTCTTCACTCTACTTTATAAAGGGCCTCACTTTGCTGTATAAAAAGGTTCTCCTGGCCAGGTGCAGTGGCTTACGTCTATAATCCTAGCACTTTAGGAGGCCGAGGCTGGTGGATTGCTTGAGCTCAGGAGTTCAAGGCCAGCCTGGGCAATACAGTGAAACCCCATCTCTACTGAAATACAAAAAATTAGCTGAGTGTGGCGTGCACCTGTAGGCCCAGCTACTTGGGAGGCTGAGGCAGGAGAATTGCCTGAACCGTGGAGGCGAAGGTTGCAGTGAGCCAAGATCATGCCACTGCACTCCAGCCTGGGCAACAGAGTGAGACTCTGTCTCCCAAAAAAAAAAAAAAAAGGTTCTCCTATAGTTTTCATTAGTAATTTTGTAATTTCATTTTATACACTTAAATATTGATTCTCACTTTAGTGCAGGGTGAAGTAGGGCTCCAACTTAATTTTTTTTTTATATTGCTACTCAGTTGTTTCAGTACTGCTTATTGAATAAACCATCTTTATTTTGAGCTGTCACATTATGTACTGAATTTCTGTTTATGTTGGGTCTTTAGCTGTACTATGTAGTCTCTTCCACTGATTTGTACTGGGCTATGTTATACTGTTTTTAATTATTGTAGTGTTATATTTTAGTATTTGACAAGGCTAGATCCTCTTCAATTAACTTTTGCTTTATTTTTTCCAAGGGAAATTTAGGAGCAGGACATACGTGGGTTCATGTATTTTCATTGGGAATGCATTAAAGATATAGATTAGGGATAACTGGCACTTTTGTGATGTTGAGTATGCCTATTCAGGAACATGGTATTGCTTTTCCATTTATTCAAGTCTTATTTTTTGGGAGCATTTTAAAGTTGTCTTCATATAGATTTGTATATGTTTTTTTCTGTGGTAACAGAAGACTCTAAAGCTTTAGTGGCTTATGACAACAAAGGTTATTTCTCAATCATGTTACATGCAGCCTGTAGGTCAGTGGCAGCTCTGCTTATGCTTCATATGTTCTGTCATCCAGGAGCTAGGCTGAAGGAGTAACAGCCTTAATTTGGCTGTGTCCCTCTATTTGGGACACACCGTTTCCATGGTGAAGCATAGAGGAGAGCAAGAGAGGAGCTGTTGGAAACATGGAATGGCTCATACATGGCATACTTTTTGTTTTGCTCATATATGCCATACTTCATGTTTGCTCACAGTCCCATTGGGCAGCAAGTCACATGGTCAAGCCCAGCATCAGTGGTCTGGGGATATATGTATTCATCCCACAGGAGGTACCACAAGTCACATAGCAAGGGGCAAGGACATCTAAGTCCTTTGGCAGCACAGAGCTTGGGAGGTTAAGGGTAGCTTGAATAACAGAACAATAATACAGCCTGCCACAATCTTGTTACAAAAAATTCAGATAATATAGAAGTATAGAAAGAAAAAAGTAAAAGATCTCTCCCACAAGCCCCCTTAGATCCTGTTACCTGGAGACAACCACTGTTAACAGTTTACATATCCTGCAAGCACTTTTTCTGTGAAGATACAAGTGTATACATCAACATGTGTGCATATCTACGTACATAAATATTTTAAGTTCTTTTTATAGAAACTAGAGGATTATACCATGATATTCTACATTTTGCTTTTTTAATAACCTGATGTATTTGGAATATCTTTTTTTTTTTTTTTTTTTTTT